GTTTAAGTAAACTAGGGCAGTACTGAAGAGAATTAAGGTCATTCAAACCAACTTTGGCAAAACGGTAACTTAAGAACAGGTTAGAAAAAACAAATATTGTGCATATCACATTAGGCATAAGAACAAGAAGGTTTATTGATGGGTTGGCCGTTACTGCAATGATTTCATTTTGTTTCCAAGGTGACTTATAAGCTTGACCAATATATCCGGAGAGTTGTTCTTAGGGGCGATTAGGTAGACGATAATCTGATAAATCCCTGGTTCTATGTCACATATCGGCCATAGAAACAATCTTGAATGCTGTCATGGTATTTTGATCTGTTTTACTAGGATGTTTCTAGTAAATTCCTAAAACATTGGGTTTGATTAAAATTTTAAGTGGCGAAATAGGAAATATTTCTCTCTGAGTGCCATATATATGAAGGTTCTAGAAGCTAACCCCACCCCACAAATTACCACAAATTTTGAGGATGTTTTCATCAACTGTAAGCTAATTCCCCAACGAGCTAGGAGTGCTTGTGGGAGATGAACTCTAAAAAGTTGATGAATTTAGTTTTCTTTGGAAATCGAAGAAAATTAATGAAAAACCCCGAAATCATTTTCACCTCATCATTTGGGGGTTCTCACACTACTTAGATGACTTTGCGGGGATAAAACGAAAATAATAGAAGCATACAAAAATTCCCGAAGAGTCTTACATTTACGAAAAAAATAAACCTATAAAAAATAAATTATTTTGTATACTGCACCCTTGGTTTTGTGTCCTGAATTGGACATATACGAAATGAAACTCAATTGGTTCATTTTCTTAGACGTGAGCAAGAACAATCGAGGCATACACAAGGTACAATCAAACCAGGTCAATTATAACATTGCATAACGAGATTCCTTTATATTCATACACATAGCGGATCTAGTGACCGAAACCGACTAGCCATGCAACTGCTTTTGCTGAATAAAATAGTATTCGGAAGCTACTATGGCGATACTTATCCGAAAAGAATCCTCGATGTTGCCAGCAATACAAAATACAGCTAAGCCATCCCCGCCCCCCAAACGATAAAATCTAACATCATGATTCCAAATCTGGAAGACTTTTTATGTTTGCTTTTAAAAGGACATGCCTGCAAGAGAATAAACTCTCCACAGTAGTTTGTCCCAGAAAATATTTCATTTATGCACCTGTATATATGCTGCTTTCCAACAATAATAATATTTTTTCCCTTAGAGAAATTATCCAATCGGTCAAGTATTTGTCAACAGGAAGAAAGCTTTGGGTTGAGTTGAACGCGCAAAATACACGATAGCAATCATGGGGTAAACATTTCCCATTTTGGTATTGTTACTCTTACAAACATTTTGAATTGGAGAATCGCTTGTGACTAAAATTTTAATTATTACTGACAATTAAACAAAACAATTAAATTGTGCTCTAATCTCCTCCCCCTAACTAGTTCATCATTCATGTACAAATTAGATTTATTTTCTAAAAGTATCCAACAACAATTGTAGACACCCTGTCATTCTATTATTTTAAGGACCCAAAAAAGGGATAGAATCTAAAAATAAATCAGAATAACAAGGTCTATTGTTTGTATTTTTTAGGGATAAATATTTCCCATTCGTAAAAAAAATAATTATTTCTGGATTTGTGGCAGTTACGCGTTACCTCAGCAGATGTAGAATTACGACATTACGAAATCGTAGTTTGAAAGAAAAAAAATAATTACAAATTTTTTGCAACAAAATAATGCAGGATCAAAACAAGAAACCGAAAAAAAATAATCAATAAATTTTGCAGTCATTAAAAAATATTTTTTTTTAATGCTTAAATAAATAATCATTCTGATTTAAGAACCCCCCCCCCCCTATTAGCCATTCATAATTTCATCGTGAACAATATTCCCTGAAGGAAGTTGCAAACAAGCTTTTCAAGCATCTCTTTTAAGGGGCAGCTTGCGATTGTACAATTTTCAAATTGTTAGTTTCGGAATAGGGCTGCAAAATCGACCCAGCCTCATTTAATAGAGGAATCTCCTCCTAAATCGATTCAACAACTTGGGGACATCCAGAATTTTTAAAACATAAGCAGGAATAAAGATGCCACGTATCACCAAAATACTAGCACCCCAAAATCAAGGGATGAAAATATTTCCTCGTTGAACTAAACTTCGGCAACATGGAGAACAATCCCCTCAAATTTCCTTTCATTATGGTTGACGTCATCAAGTACAATCGTATCGTTATAGTTGTCCCATCCATTGTAAAATTGAATTGTTGATAATAGGAAAAATGAACACGAATTTTGTTAAATAAACAATAATAGAAATTAAAGGAAGAGACAAACATTTTATTGAGTAAAAATTTTCACTTTGCGCCATACTATTCTACCGAGAATAGATTCTACGACAAACAGCAATGAACTCCCCTGTCGCTTGATCCAATGTTCTGGATTCCCTTTCGAAAAGCTACCTATCTAAATTGCACATCTATTAATTAGCCGCTATATTTTTTTTTTTTTCTGAGAATGCCATTTATAAGTATAGTTTCATTCATGAAACGATAAAAAAAACGAATTAAAGAAAACGATTTGTTTAGAAAAGAAACATGAAAAATATTAATTGCCAAGATCGGATGGATTTGGAAAAAGTATTAAGTTTAAAAAATTACTATCTGTGAGGGGGGGGTTCCTAAAAATATTGAAATATATTTTATGCGCTTAATTATGCCTCACTTCTTTTTCACTTTTCCCTTTTCAAAACTAATTAAAATCAGACTTGTAAAAGTGATCTTGAAGCCCATGTTTCCCTCTTCTCCTAACGAGATATATCTGGTATATAAAAAGCATATTTGTGTTGATGGAAACAGTGACTATAGAATGGCAAACCCTATAATTTCTATAATAACAAGTTTAATCGCTAATAGTTTCTTAAGTTATGTTTATTGTCGGACCAAGTTTATTTTTTAACTGACTCAACCAAAAAATAAAATAATGAAATAATAATTTTATAATAAATTATATTTTGGATGGACAAAACTTTTCACTTATTCACATCAGACAATAAGCTCATTTTATCGACGTTCCCTATCTTTTTTCTTTTCGATCTCTTCTACAGAAATTCTTTGAAAGGTAAGATGAAGGTTTGCTTCTGGAGGCTAGGTAAGCACTTAAACATTTAAATTTGCCAGAGAATCTCGCAAAGAGATAAGAAAATCACAATAATCTCCCATAAAGACAGAGAAGAGGAGGACAAATAGGGATATAATTACGACTGACATCTTCTCAAGAGAGACATTTTATTATTTAGAGAGTGGATCATTTAGTAGTCAAAAAATTCGAATTGTAATTAAAAGAAGTCATTTATTTTTTTTGTGGAAATATGCATTTTTTTTAATCAAAAGGCTTAATTTGGAACAGAATTTACATTGAATAGAAATTAAACAATGCAGTGATTGTGCCAGAGAAAGATGAAGAGCAATACTGAAGAAGATAAAACTACTTTTAGACCTTGCATAATCATTTGAAAATTGTACGAAGATGATGGCGAACCACTAAATCTATGAGAATTTGAAAGCATTTGTTGCAAATTAGCAGATGAACATACTTCATATCTCATAACCCACTGGTCCTAAGAAGTACAGCTGTAGAGAAAGTTTCTTACAATAGAGCTTTTATCTTCATTCTAGAAAGAAATCGTTTATTAAATCAATAAAGCCTTTTCCTCGCAAGCAGGCGTTAGAATAATAATTTTCTTCAGATAAAAATAATCCTTATACTGGAGATAAAATATAGATCAAGCACTGTGTGGTCTGGCCCATTCATCCACAGCCAGTGTAGATACAACTGTAACTCTAGAACAACTACTCTCTCCGTGTTTCCTATTACTTTGAAACGGTAAAAGTAACCTGTAAACGTAAATACATGCGCATAGAGTATTAGTAAGCAGCTATAATCACCTAACCTAACACCGAAAAGGATCATTTTTGGCGCCCCTGTATATATCCGGATTTCAGATGCTAAGCTCATTTTAAAAAATACTGAAATAATACTCTCTTCGACACCCTTTTACGTTATTCTATTATCTCTCAAGCAAATTATGTCAACAACCTAAGGTGATAGCTGGCCAACCCATACTACTGGCTAATATTCTAGTTAGTAACCAATTAGAAAACTTTTTGCCAGTGTGCATATAAGCTCCATAGAAAAACGCGTCCAGCTGAAAAAAAAAAATCAAATGGAAATTTTTTTTGAACGAGAATCTTTAGTATCTTTAGTTCTTCTTTGACAAGCAGTACTTTACAGTATTGAATAGCTTTATTCGAATCGCCACAGAAACACACACAATGACTTAAATGTCCCATATACTCAGTGGGTGTACAAAATCCAGAATCAAACCGGTAGTCTCAAATGTGTTGCTTAGAGAATTTTGATAAGAGAGGGGTATTGCTTTGTTTCTTTTCGTGTGTAAATGAATGAATTAATGACCATGAAAGAGATTAAATTGCTTTATTTTTAGTCATCCTGTAAAACTGCTTATGCTGGAGCGTCGTCATCCTTCCACCGCCAAATGATTGGAAAGCATTTGCCTGACTAGAATGAATAATAAGATATTAAATTTAAAGAAAGTTTAAAATAATATTTTATTATTTATTTGTATATGCATAAAGATATTTTTTAATTTTCCACAAATTTTATTTACGGATGCAAAAAAATAAAATCACTTGAAAAATAATTATCAGAAAATACTGGTTCCACGACATTATCATAATGGTATCAGCTAGATTGTTCCTTCAATGATGATCAATCAAAAATATTTGGAATGAAAAGAAAAGGAAGCCGATTTGACTTAGGGGGCTGGTGGTTTCAAGGGTGAAAAAGAAGCATTTATATCAATCACTCAATCTACCAATTTTTTCATAAAATCCAATTTTTTTTAGAAAGAACCCTCATCCGTCATTTCAACTCTCTTTTTGTGTGAACTGAAAGCAATTTAACAAAAATGAAGAAAAGGATGTTGAAGACAAACATCATTCTATTGTGGTGTTATCTATTGACAACAGTTCTCACCGTACCTGTATCACCCAAGTTGGGTGGCACTTTAGGTGAGGATACTGATACCAAAGGAGAAACCCCTGCTATTAGTATTGAAAATTCCCACGTAAATCCCCCAAGTTCAAGCGTTATTATTCCAACCACCGTTCAAAAAGCTCCAGCCTCCACTTCCTCAGAAGTTGTTATTTCATCTGCAGGTGCCCCTTCTTCCGAAGTCGTCTTTTCACCTCCAGGTGCCACTTCTTCTGAAGTTGTCTTTTCACCTCCAGGTGCCACTTCTTCTGAAGTTGTCTTTTCACCTCCAGGTGCCACTTCTTCTGAAGTTGTCTTTTCACCTCCAGGTGCCACTTCTTCTGAAGTTGTCTTTTCACCTCCAGGTGCCACTTCTTCTGAAGTTGTCTTTTCACCTCCAGGTGCCACTTCTTCTGAAGTCGTCATTCCTAGTCCTGTTGCTTCTTCACACGTGATTCCATCCCCAGAGGACGTTGCCTCCCTGCGTGCTGGCCGTTCTTCAGTAGTCGCTGAATCTGATACCGACCTACCTCCCCCACAACCTTCATCGTCACAGGTTGTTGTCCTCGCAGCATCTTCTTCCGAAGTCGTTCCTCCAACTGGTGCCCCTTCCTCTCCGGAAGTCTTTATTCCACCAGTTGCCCCTTCTTCTCTGGAAGTTGTTGTCCCACCCGTGGTTAGTTCCTCAGTAGTCCAACAACCAGTTGTGGCCTCATCTGAAATTGTTTTAGAATCAGCTTCTACTGTTGAAATTACTACATCATCGTCGCAAGTCGTTGTTCCAGAAGCTACTACTGCTCCTGAAGTCGTTGCCCCAGTCGTCGATTCTTCGTCTGAAGTCGTTGCACCAGTTGTCGCTTCTTCTTCTGAAGTGGTTGCACCGGTTGTCGCTTCTACTTCTGAAGTCGTTGCCCCAGTCGTCGCTTCTTCGTCTGAAGTCGTTGCACCAGTTGTCGCTTCTTCTTCTGAAGTCGTTGCACCGGTTGTTGCCCCCGCTTCGTCCACAACTTCTCAACCAATATCCCCCGAAGAACTAACAGTCGCGGCCCCACCTTCTTCAGAAGTTGTTGCTCCATCAGTTGGTCCTACTTCTTCAGATACACTTGTCGCACAGCCTACTGAATCTTCCACGCTGACTACTAACAACCAAGCAGCACAACTCCAAGTCCAACCTCTTAATTTTGGTTTACATACCTCAAGTACTAGAACAAGTTTATCTTCGTCTATCAGATCAAGTTCTTCCTCGTCAGCGCAACCCAGGTCCAATTCAAGAACCAGAACAACCAATACTATTCCATACCACCAATATAGTTCTAGCTCATCTGCTCATCACAGTTCTAGTTCTAGTACCAGTTCCAGTACCAGAGTAACTCATACTACACCAACCCACCATCAACATAGTTCTAGCTCATCTGCTCATCACAGTTCTAGTTCNAAGGTCATACAAAGACAGTGGTTACCACAATTGGTACTACCGTATACGTCACTACTTGTCCAAACAGCCAAGTTTCTACTGCCACTGGTATTGTTGTTGTAAGTACCAATTCTCAGGGTCAGTCACATACGTTTACCAAGCCAATTCCTACTGTTGTTAATTATACTACTGTTTGCGTCACCGAAGGAGTTACCGAAACTGTTGGTATTTGTATAACTACAAATTCTAGAGGCGAGAAGACTACTGTTACTGTTCCAATTGAAGCCGCATATGTCACAACACCAGTTTCTACTGTTACGGTTACTGAAACTGAAGTTTTGACTACTACTCATTGTGTTAAGAGACGTTGTGTCCAGCAAGAGAATACAAAGACGGTTGTTCTGGTTGAAACTGTTTATACTACTGTTCCTTGTGTTCCAACTGGGTTTATTAATAGTCCAAGTAATATCAATAATCCAGGTAATTCCAATTCTACTCCAGATGCTATTAATGCTGTTGCTGCAGAAGGGAATACTGGAGCATCCAATTCTGGTAATTCGATTGCAGGTTCTAACTCAGGTTCTAATGGTACTAATGGTAGTAATGAATCGCACCACGCCGGTGGTGGCAATGGCGGTGGTAATGCTGGTGGTAATGCAACTGGTACTCAACCTACTGGCGCTCAACCTACTGGTGCTAATACTCAAGCTGGTGGTAACATTCAAGCTGTCGGTAATACGCAACCAGGTGGAAGTCCTCAAGCTGCTGCCAATACTCAAGTAGGTGGAAGTCCTCAAGCTACTGCCAATACTCAAGTAGGTGGAAGTCCTCAAGCTACTGCCAATACTCAAGTAGGTGGAAGTCCTCAAGCTACTGCCAATACTCAAGTAGGTGGAAGTCCTCAAGCTACTGCCAATACTCAAGTAGGTGGAAGTCCTCAAGCTACTGCCAATACTCAAGTAGGTGGAAGTCCTCAAAGTGCTACCAACATTCAAGCTGCTGGTGGTGCTCAACCTACTGGTGGTAATTCTAACGCTGCTGCTGCTGGTAGTACCCAAACTGCTCAGGCTACTGGTGCTGCTGGAGGTGCTCCAACAACAACATCCACCACGACTAGTACAACTCCACAAGTGACTCATGCCAACGCATCGAATAGCAACAAACCGCCTTCATCTAAATGGATCTGGCTTGTTTGTTTGACATTCACCTATTGGTTATTCTAGCCTGATCGTTGATCGATTCTTATTTTGTCAAAAAACAAAAAAAAATTATCCTTCGGTTAATATTTTGTTGAACAGGATATTATACTTTTGATTTCGTTTATTATGGTTTTATGTTTAAAACCCCCTTTTATTATTCATTATTATTAGCTTTATATTGGTGAATTTAATATATTCACTAATTAGCTTGGACCCCCCCATGTTTTTTTCATTTTGACTTTCTTTTTTGGTTATTATATCATGCTATATATTTTGGTTATGATATTTTGGTTATGATATTCTATTAGAATATCATTTTCGGTTTATGTTTATATATGTTAAATATGTTTGATATGTGTTTATTTTAGTGTATATGAATGTATTATGGTTTAAAAAACTATAGTTTGTAGATTCTCTTGTTGCTTTGTCTATATTAAAAGATATTTACAAAGATGTATTCTACTCTAATATAAATAGATTTATAAGAATCGGAGGCTTTACTAAGAGATATAATATTAAGTATCATTAGAAATAATTAGCTGTTGTTGACAGATGTGATATGTTGAAATCTTTGTAGAAATCTGGAGTGAATTTTTACACCCGGTTGGTGAAGTCTAAAATAGTTCTCTTACAATTCTATACATAAAAGTTGGTCTGTATCCTGTAACATATCGTTGTGGGAATCGGAAAATTTTCAAAAGCGACGGTGGCATGTTTCATCGTTTTATGTAACTACGAGCAGGTACCATCGAATAATATGATCGAAGTTCCAATTAAACGAAGGCTCCGCTACCCTATTAAGAAATTCTTACTTAGGAATTCACGCACCTAGATGATCGAAGTTAAGTTGACGGCATAGACGTACTTAGTTTCTGCTCAATAGTTTCACGTTGGTTGTTACTTGTTCTAGTGAATAGAAGTGGTAGAACTTTGAGTAAGTGCCCGTGTGACGCAATTGCGGTTAACAATAAATGATAAAGTTAAATAATAATGTTCTACCTTAGCTATAAAAAATATATAAAAATTCACCAAGATACAATGTAAGTATTATAGATCCTTATGACTCAAAAATTAATTACTTCAAAGATTGAATTAGAGAAAGAGTAAGAAAAGTCAGATCTTCTTTCTGTGACAGTTGGAGACTTTGGATAGCAGCAGTAAGTTCAACATTCTGTTGACCTAGATTTGAATTAGACATTTTTGATTAAAGAGTTATAATTGTTGTTATTATTGATTATTTACATCTATAAAATTTACATTTCATTCTGGTACTTTTCGACCATTTTTATACTCAATTTCATAATTTAATTTCACGTTTTAATTCTTTAATTTCAATATAGGTTTTTTCTTATCAATATTCTTTTATATTAATTTATGTATTATTCTTGGATAATACTCGTGTAGTATAAACACGTACGATTCGGTATTCTTGGATACTCATTCAATGTATTATTCTTGATCTTTTTTTTTTCTTATTTTCATATTCCACATATCAACTTTTATTTGCATTAATTCACATCAAGTTCTTGTATTAGTTATCATCAGTAATATCAACCTTCTTATTCACTATTCATTATTCAATAAGTCATTGGATTATTTTCAAATCTCAACACTTTCTAGTCAGGTCCTAATGAGATATCTAGGAAAAAAGTTTTCACTTGCAATGAAAGTTCTAGATATCCTGTATATGTTGCCAAATATAGAAATATACAGGCAACAGTATATTAGGTCTAAGACGTATAAAATATTTTATTGCAAATCATGTGACGACTCGAGCCCTAACCCTCAGACAGCAGAAAATACCAACAGAAGTTGCTGCAAAAAAAGATAACAATAAAGATAAACAAGAAAAAAAATTAAAATTGCTGAAAAATAAATTTTGCAATCATTTAAATTTAAGAGTTGCGATCTTCTTTGCTTTATTTACTATAGCGCACTAACATACAACAATAAACAGAAGGTATAATGTATGGAAAACACTGTACTATAAGACGAGAATTTATTTGGGACCTCTTTCTTTAGAAAAAGCTTCTGTTGTACTTAAACGAATATTTAAAATCACGTGGTTTTAACAACGCGGAAGTTTGTGTGTGGAAGTAATAGTAGCATCTGTATGTGTAAATGTCTTAAGTTTAAATAATTAATGAATAGAAGTACACAAAGGATAATGTCAAATAGAAAGAAAGATCCATTAATTGCATCATCATAAATGTTTTTACGTAACCTGTAAAAAGTACCGCACTAATCTGTAAATTCCAACTTATTATTATTTCTTGTCTCTTAGTAACAAAATTGGCGTTCATTTTGTTCCGTGGGACAAAAACCTGCAAACTTATTGAAATTTATTAAAGAACACTCGCGGCAGCCGCGTGTAACACCTGATATTGTTTTAGACTTCTGAGTAACCTAACGTGGAATGCAATAAGGATCAATTCTCAATATTTATACCTGATCGTTCAGGTGGCAGATAATCTATGAGAATACCTGAATATGGGGAATATTCGGATACTCGAGATATTAGGGATTCTGATGAGAAATTCCCAGGCTAGCTTGGTATAAATACAAATTAATTCGCTTAGTTAAACTATATACTACTTAAGAGCTGTATTAGATGAGTAGTGAAGAATTTTTACTCTCGTCGTAGCCCATTAGGTGAGATTCTCCCCCAATATGCAGGATACGATATAAAACTTTTCACCAGATTCTCACCAGATAAAGCAACTAAAGTTTATAAATTGAAAACTACAAAATTAAACCTAGTTTTAATTAAACTATTAGATTGATTTAAAATTATTAAATAAAATTGACTATCAAACGAGTACTCCAATAGTGGTAAAAGAGAAATGGATGTAAGATTGAATTTCATCTTTTCATTCCAAACTCAGAGATTTGCCACCTTGGTGAAACCTTCAGGTGTGTCCTTTTTTTTCTTGAAATCATGTATTACTCTAAATAAAATTAAATAATTATAAAGGTAATATATGCGCCTCCTTGAGTTAGATCTGGAGGAGGAACCTATATGACTTTAAGCGGTTCAAAAACCCCTTTGCATGTAATTGGATATTTCACAGCCATGTGTGAGAGTCTCCCAGTATGGGGAATACTCCCTAGAAAATAAGCCATAGAGTGGCTAGTTGTATTTCTTTCTTGTGGCAATATGAGACTTACTTTCTACTTTTTATGAATTATGATGGTGGTTAAAGGAGTAGGTGTGGTAGGGCAGTGGTTGGTAGAGGGAAACTAGAAAGACAGTAGTTACTGTCGTCGTCGTTCCACTCTGTGCATGATCTCGCTTGACGCGCCATAATTCTAAAGATGTTGGACATTCACATATGTGATGAATGAGATT